ACTTACTTGTGTGGTGGATTTAACAAGAAACGAAAAAGAATCGAGAATCTTTGTGAGAAAGTTGTCGTCACAGTTCGTGCGCGAGAGTAGAAGAGTTTGAAAAGGAATAAAGAAGAAGTCAAAGGGTCAAAAGATATACCTGGTCGCTTATGTACGCGGGGCGTAACACAAGGGTACGCGGGGCGTAACCCCAACACCCTGAAATGTTCATCCGTGATCCGGGCACATCACTCATGGCGTAATATAACTTACGCGGGGCGTAATGGTATTTGAAAATTTCCAAATTTCCTTTAATTTAATTTCCTTTTCTTTTTAATCATTTCATCTAGGGACTTAAAACTTATTTTTTTTTCTTTTTTATTTCTTAAGCTAATGATGACTTCACGATGAGTGATAAAAAAAAATTGAGATGTCATAGTCACTTATCTTTGTCAAGATCAAACAACAATGGTTGATCAAAAACCTTTGCATGCAAGAATTGGTTTGCGAAAACACCCACTTTCGGGACCCGTTAGAATATTTTCTTTGTTTTCCTTGTACCTTTAACTAGAAGCGGAACAAGAAGTGACCTAACTAGTCAAGAACAGCAAGAGCTCGGTCTTCCACTTAACCACCACAATACGCCTTGCTATACTACGCCTCATGGATTGAGTTGGACAAATCAACAAAGTAGTAGGCTAAGCAGGTCAAGAATTCCCTAATCGCTTTCATTCTCGAAACCCATGCAAAAAGTAAAGTCAAGCAATGTGTACAATCCCAAATTCCTGCAAATAAAAACAAGAACCTTCCCGACAAGTGAAAAGATATCATCGAAAATCAAACTAAAAAATGAAAACTAACTAAAAACAAATAACGAATAATTAAATAAAATAAATTAATGACAAGCCGTTCCCCGGCAACGGCGCCAAAAACTTGATGTGCACAAAAGTACCCATTAATTTTAATATTTATAACCTAACAAACTTAGACTAACTATGCACTTATAGGCAGTGTACCTAATCAAATTACAGTATAGCTTAGGTAAGTCGGGTTTCGATCACAGGGAACGGTGGATCAATTTAATATATCTTATTATAGGTCACACGAAAAGAATAAAAGACATAATTTAATAAACCTCAAACTAATAATTAATTACCCATCCTCGATAAACTAACAGGAAAACAAATCTCTTTAGGTACTTTGGTTTAGACTAATTCCACCTTGAAAACATAAACAATTGCATACACAAATTCATTTATTCATGTTCACCGATTCCTAAATTGATTAGATTCATGTTCACTATAACTAATCCTTTAGCAAACAAGTTAATTCAAACAGTGATCAATTGATTAAACTAACATGCTTCCTAGTGTTCAGTTCGTATCAAGCAAGACTTGTAAATTTAGTTAATTTAAACATTTAATTAACCTCTTGTTGATGGTCATCAAACAAGGCTCACACATTAACTTACTTATTCCCAAGTTAATCCTAGTTTCACATTCGTTATTTCTAGTCTTATAATCTCAATGGTCATCAAAAATCATAAGAGACAAGCAAATCAAGCAGGTTTTCATACAACTTAATTCACTTAACAATTAACAGCAAATAATCATCATTAACACATGAGGATCTTTGAACAAGCTTGGCAAGATAAATTAAACACAAATAAATTATTTAACATAACAATTAGTCTAAGAATCAAAACTTCATTCAATCATAAACACAAAGTAAAAGGTTTTTACACCCAAATCAGAAACTAAATACAAAAAGTATCATAAGGAAGTGCTAAACATGGTCACGTTAGCAATCCATATGATTACCGACATGTATCCGCTCTCCAATCCTTCAGATCTCTGCTCCCGTTAGCTTAACGGCCTTCCGGCGGCCTTCTAGACCCTCAAAACGGCTTAACAGAAGTTAATTGTCGACTAAATTAGGTTAGAAGTCGAATCCCCCCTCCTGGTTAGCTAAAAATCGACATTTATAATCTTTGTGGCCGACCTAAGTACGCTGGGCGTACTTAGGATTACGCAGCGCGTACTCTGGATAATCACGCGATCAAGTCTATCCGGTGCAAGCATTTACGCGGGGCGTAACATTAAGGTACGCGGGGCGTACTCGCTACCTCAGCATTCTTTTCTTTCTTTCAGCTTCTAAGCCCGGTTTCCGCTTCAATCTTTTCTTTTGTGCTTTATCGACAACAAATAGCTGCAAAACATAATTCAAAGTATTATGAGTACTCTTTAGTTCTAAAATAGAATAAATAAGGCCAAAATATTAAGATAAATTGCATAAAAATATATATAAAAATACACATATCACTCAACATGTTACAAAGTGTTATGAAAGTTGTAAACTGTTAGTTCGTTTTTACCATTTCTGCACTATTTTGGAAAAATCACATAAAAATCATGCAAAGTCAAAAACTGAATCCGTAAACTCTAAGAGCTTAGAAAATGTGTCTAGCTTGTTCATAAATTTTATTATGACTTTTTGGAAGTCTCTAACTGGTGTAAAAACGTTCATATTCACATATTAGTCTGAATTCGTAGCTACAGTGATAGGCAGTTTTGTAAAAATCACCGTAAATTGTAGAAAAATCGTGTGATTATGTGCAAGTAGTAATTTTAAAGGTATGAACATTAACCATATGCATATTAAATAGTTTTGAAAGATTTTAAGTTTAAGTCGATCAAAACAGTTTGTGAATGGAACTCAACTTTTCTGTGGAAAGCTAATGTTTGAGTTTTGTTAAGTTTTTGGTAATTTAACTTGTATTCTCCCCCTAAAACTTGAAGAAAACATGAAAATGTGGGGGTATGAACTTACCTTGACTGATTTCAGTAGATGGATGATGAAGAAGAAGGAGTTTTCAATTCAATAACACTTGGGAGATGCTTGAAGATTCGAAGATTCTATGAACAAATATGATGATATTTGTGTATGGAATCCATGATTTGAGTGAAAGGGTGTAAGATAATCATGTGAAAGATGAAATTACTTACCCAAAAGAGGATGAAGAACTCAAAACTCCTGGAGAATCTCGAAATATTGGAGAGGAAGTGAGAGAGAAAAGTGTATTTGCTTTTAGTGAAGTGTTAGTGATCTAAGGAAAGTGAGTAGTAAAGTTTCTTTGTGTGTATGGGTTTAAGGAAACTTGTGGGGGAAGGGTGAGAGTAAAAGGGATTGACTTTTCAGATGTGAATAGTGACATAAAGCATGAATAGTGAACTGATGATGGACATGGAGTGGGTATGGTGGATAGCTTGTGTCCTAACTTTAAGGAGAAGTCAACACTCCACCTCAATATCTTACCCACTAGATATTATTCTTTGATAAAGATTTCCCTCAAAATGTGTTTAAATTATGAATATTTAGGGTCTTATATGTCTAAATATGAGTTTGGGTGAAAATCTCACGTCAAAATCATGAAAAACAGGCTTAAAACGCAAAAATGGTCGAAAACCAGGAAAAGATGCAAGAATTGCGAAAAATCCGAGCTCAGGACCGAAGTTCGGTCCTTGGATGCTTAGAACCGAAGGGAGTTTCGGTTGCTGATGAGAACCGAGAGGTAGTTCAGCCGAGGAATCTTGCAGGCAAAATGTCAAAGGGAACCGAAAGCGAAGGTAGGGAGAAGCGAAGGCGAAGCAAAATGTCAAAGAGAACCGAGAACCGAGTGGTGTTCAACGGCGGCAGCCACCACCTCGTGGTGGTGGTGGTTATGATTTTAGGTCAAATCAACACCAAAAGCACTCCAAACATCAATCCAAATGCACCCGAAAGCCCACAGCCACAGGAAATGGTAGCTAGCAGTGGCGGAATGGCGGCAAAAGGTGGCAGCCACTACCTCACAGTGGTGGTGGTGATGAGTTTTCTTCAGTTTCCTGGCCAAGAGAAATCCATACGTCATTAAACTCATGAAATACGTTCACACACACACCAAATCACGCACAAATCCACCTCCTCACGGTGGCTGGTGGCGGCAGAAGAAGACAATATGTCGGCAGCCACCATGGTGATTTCTCACGAATTCCGGCTAACAGGAAACACACACACATCCCAACTAACAACAACATCACACAAACCTTTGCGAATCCACTGAAACACACACCGAACAAGGCCGCCCTTGAGGCAGCAGGCGGCAATTGGAGAACATTGATAGAATGAACCAGTCGCAAGGCGGCGCCGGCGACAGCGAGCCACAACGACAATAGCAAAGTGGATAAACGAGGGGGGAAGTGGGGTTGCGCCATCGACGATGAGGGATATGGCGGCTACAAAACACATTCAACCGGTCTCCCACGACCACAGTCGTCTCGAAACACTTGCATTTGTCGGCCATGCGAGCAGCGGCAGTGAAACTCCATGGTCCTTGCATGACTCAAGGGGTGACGGTTGGAGCATGGATGTATAAGGTGGCTGCTAGAAGTTGATAAGGTAGGGTTAGGGTTTGGCGATGTAACAAGAGGGAAAAGAAGGTGTCAGGTTTAAACCCATACCCCATACAAACTTCACACGGATTTGACACTTCCAATCCCTCCCACTCATATTTTTTTTTTCAAAATGAATCCATAAGTTACCATTCAAGCCTCAACGTTTCATAATCCTTTCAATTTAAGTCCAATATTTTACCAAACACCCCCTGACTTCTGAAAATCTTTACATACCAATCCGGAATTTACACTTAGCCCCCAATATTCAAAAGTTATGACATTTAACCCCCAAAACCAACGCCTTGCTAAATTATTCCGAATTTAGGGCTACTATAAAATAACATGATTTACATCTCGGAGTTAAGGTTTATTATGTATTACTTAATTTCAAACCGAATGTTACATAAAAAAGGGAACATGAAAAAACATACACTTAGTCATTCTAAGAAATCTGTCTTCATCTGGACGTCCCTCTTTAGCTTCTTCTCCCACTTTTGCAGTCCCTTCTCCTTCAGTATATATATCCACTTCATGTTCATAACCAATTCTGTGTGTGTGTGTGGAGTCAAGAGTCCCTTACAAAAACTCATGGCCAAACAAATGAAACACCAACAGTTCCAATGCTGCTATAAGAACTGGGTGGCTCAGCAACAGCTCGATCTGGACGAATTACTCCAAACACTCACCAACTACCCAACCGACCTCGACTACCTCCAACTCATAACCAAAAAAATCGTCTCCCACTTCGAGAACTACAACAACTCTCGAGCCGAATTAGCCAAACACGATGGGCCTTCCTTTTTGGCTCCAAGCTGGGGGAGCACTTTTGAGAACTCGTTTCTTTGGATCGGTGGTTGCAGACCAGCTTTGATGATTCGGCTCGTGTATGCGCTATGTGGGTCCCACCTAAATACACACTTGGAAGAGTTTCTTGAAGGAATTCGACATGGAAACATCGGAGAAATATCAAGCTTGCAGCTCAAAAGAATTGATGAACTTCATGCTAAAACGATTAAAGAGGAAGATAAGCTGTCGTCATATATGGCAACCTTACAGGCAAACTGTAGAACTCAATAATACATAGGAGCTGAATTACAATTTATTTTATAAAACTTGATGTGTGTTGTATGCAGGAGAAGATAGCGGATGAGCCATTGGTGTTGCTCGCAAGTGGGTGTAGGGGGATAGGGGAGTCGAGCGAGGGTGGGGTGGTGGATAAAACGATGGACACACATGCCCTTGATCTGTATAACGTTTTGCTGGAAGCAGATAAGCTGAGGATGAAGACACTAAAGGGTATTTTAGAGTTTTTAACACCATTGCAGGCGGTGGAGTTTCTGGTGGCTGCGAAGAAATTACACCTTTCTTTACATGAGTGGAGCACGAGAAGGGATACAAGAATGGGGATTACTCAACTACTTGGTAGTAATAATCCGTCATCCTCCGGTGACCCACCACCGCCATTACCACCACCAGCGGAGACGTGAACGGCAACGTATCGTTTTTTCGTGTTTTTTTCTTTATGTTCGTTTGGCGGCTACGGTGGTGCACTTTTCTCGACCGCCATGTGATGTTAAAACGTAGGTTTTCGGGTTTCTTTAAACAGCGGCGGCTGTGTAATAAATAAAAAGTTTTTTTTATTTTTTTTTATTTTTTGTTTTTAAAGGTGTTCTTATTATGATCTATTCAATATTAGTAAGGAAAGAAATTAAGGTTATCCATTATTTTATCATGTGTTTCTTTATTGACAACAATTTCTTTCACTTGCCATACCTCTTTAACCTTGTATTCAGTTGATTGAGGTCTGGATTTTGGAACATGTTCTGGTGTCATTATTAGTTATTGTCTTATAATTATAAGAGAACTTGATTTTCACCAATTATCAATTATTCCTTCGTTTTTTCTTTTAAATTAAAATCAATCATTGTATATTTTTATTAAATTGTGTTTTATTGATTGTTGGAAGTTAGCAACTTTTGGAAGGGCTTGTAACCAAAATATAAATTACAATATGTACATGAATATGTACATGTTTAGGAGTGCCATCACGTGGCCATTGCTACGCCCTTCGATATGTTTTTTTTTTATTTGTCCAATGTTATAAACGCATTAGCTAGCTAAGACCACTTGGAGTGGAGATCCAATGCACCACCGTTGGGTAACATGTTATCGCACCCATGGCACCGACCAAAGGTGTCGTGGGTTGGTGGGTTGTGTCTATGAAAAATCTCTATCATAAGAGAAGAATTAAATACGTCCTTCCAAAAGTCTGGACTTCCGTCTGCGATAACTTTTGCTGAAACTGTTTGAAAACTCTTATCTTTATCTTCCGTCTGAGGCAAAAAATAAAAGAAGCAGATCTAGATATTTATAAAGCTTCGATTACCCTGTTTGCATGAGACGAAAGATAAAGATAGGGGTTTTCAAACAACTTCAGCAAAACTTATCGCAAGCGGAAGTCCGGACCATAGCCCGTTTTCTTTGTTGTATATATGTCCAAATTGAACAGCAAAATATACCGATAATGAACATTTTAATGCTAGCACAAACCTTTTGCGCATCAAAAAGGTGTTAATCGATTCAAAAAGATCGAATTGTGGGTTCTTTTTATTCTACCCTTCACTTGATGATGAAGGCTTCAAATTTGCTGGTAAATTTTCTGTCATCTTTGTTTGAAGTAATTTGGAACAAAATAAGAAGAAAAAAGAGGACAGCTCTTTGTGGGTTTGAGGGAAAGAATGAAGGGAAAACATAGGAGTTTCAAGATCTATTTCGGGAAAAATTGCAGAATCAGAAGGCATGCAAGACTTTAGTTGATGAAAGTTTAGGGTTATGTGTTGTTGAAGCTTTTGCAAGTTATGTTTCAGATCTTGATCGAGTATTTGAGGTGGAAATGAATGAAAAAGGTTAAAATCAAGGAAAATTGTTGTTTGTTTAATCTGAGGGTAGTGATGAACGAGTTTTAACCTCCGATGATTCACAATGTTATGGAACGATTTGTTGTATTTGAACTAAAATCATTCAAATGGAGTTCTGATTTGTTGTTTGTCAGATGCTAAAAACAAAAGGAGAGAGAGAGAGAGAGAGAGAGAGAGAGAGAGAGAGAGAGAGAGAGAGAGAGAGAGAGAGAGACCATTTGTGTGCATAAAACAAAAGGATATTTTTGTCATTTAATAAAACTGAATCTATTAACAAAGTTAGTCACAAGGCCTTTTTGTGTGCAATGTTTGCTCCGTAGGTACCATCTAAGGGGAAAAAAATTTGTAAGGATTATTTTAGGGGAAAAAAACAAAACCTTAAGGACCATTCGTGTAATTTGTTCAAAAAAACATGGAAATTAAAATTTAAAAAAAAAAAAAAAAACTAAAAAAAACATAGAAATTAAAAATACCACTAACGCCATTAGAAATTTAGAAACATCACACTAGAAATCCAAACATACAAACCGTTAAAAATTAGATGACAAAAACTTCAAATTTGACGTTATTTGGGGCTCTATCTCACAATTTACTAAAACTCAACAAACTTGAAATCTTTATCAGTTTCAACACGTTAAGCTTCAAGAGCATTCTCTAGCAAAGTATTTTTGTTTTCACCATTTGCGGCATCATGCATCGCCCTACGAAACACAATGGTAAACCGAGTTGCGATTGCATGTACGTTTCTCCATTTGGTGTTAAGTAGATCTTTTCTTCGAGGTTGAAGGGTTTGGCGGTTGTATATGTCGTCGACTCTACTCCAAAAAGTAGCCTAAGGGTAGTCATTGTGGTGTGGATCTTCTGTTACATCAATCCATAAATGAGCGCATAAGATCTTTTCTTCAGTCGACCAAATAATAGCCATTTTTAGTGACGAGTTGTAGAAAATGATGGAAAAATAAGAAAGTTAAAAGAATAGAATTAATGAGATTTGAATATGACGAAGAGTAAATAAGGACAAGGGTATTTACAGTTGAAGATTGAAGGTTTAAAATTTTGGGAAAAATACGGTTATATTTTTGAAATTAGTATTTTTTTGGAAAGAATGCAATTTTTAGAAAAGAGGTTTAAGTAATAAATTGCTTAAAAGAAAAAAAAAATCTCATCAGTTAACAATCGCCGAGTTGCCGAGCCAAGCTCGGTATGCCGAGGTCGCCCCTGGTAGCCGAGTCCACACTCACTAGTCTAAATGATTATACAAAGAAAATAATTACATTATTGTGGAATTTGATTAAATTATTGATTTGAGACATAATTCAGTATCCGGAATTATTTTATTAGTTTATTTAAAGTCGTTTTGATATTTTTACATGGACACGATCTAATTTAATTTTGTATTTTGGTGATATACTATATTGATAAAGAACTTATCGTTGAACTCGATTTATGATGATTAGAACATATTTACGCTAGAAAACCGTACTTTATAACAAATATAAAAGCGGAAAATTTGTATTTCACATAGATATAAAGAAATTTTGATTTGAGACAGAAATTATGTCATATATAATATGTATCGAATTCTAACAAATTTATATCATTATGTCCATAAAAATGAGTCCTTACATTGTCATGGAAATCTCAACTCACGAATATAATTTAATTATCAAACTCTATCCACAATTTTAAACTAGAAACCGCAATATAGGAGGTAATTCCTAAATAGAATAACCAATAAAAAACCTAAAGATCATATAATATGATGATACCTTATTAAAATTCTAGGTAACACATCAATATATTATATAACTCACATTTCCAGCAGCAAATTCATCTCTACTTTCTTGTTTCTGCTGCTTCTAGCACCATTGTTGATGACATGTTCCTGCACTATATAAACCACCCATTATCAATGACCATGGTGCACCAATGCTACAAAGGGTATAATGGGAAAAATGTCTAAGAGATTTGAGTGGAGTTTTATGATATAATAATTCTCACAAGATTGTTGACTACACCCCTTGTCGTCGTTTCCACATCATTCAGAGCCTGTTTCCCTGTATCTTCTTCTTCTTCTACATTTGCTATTGTCAAAGGCTCCTCACAAACCATGGATTCATCATCAACAGTTTCTGAATCGTGAGCTTTTTCATCAGGATTCACCTCCAAATTCAACGACCCATCATCTATAATCTTGTTAGAACCAGAATTACAAGCACCATGAACATCATTTCCCTGCAAATACGAGAAATTATGAACTTTTTAATCAGATTCAATCAAGTTTCAGTAATGGAATACCTGTAATTCACTAGAATTATGCTCTGTGACGATTTGAGAAGGAAGCCTATCGATATCCCACCCAAGAACTTTGCAGATAACTCGGCCATAAGCTCTGTGTGATCTAATCTTCTTCGTTTTTGCAATGGAAATCGAATGTTGAACCAGAGCAACACATTCTTTAAACTTTTTCAACCTTTTCAGATGCTTCTTCTCATTCACTCCGCCACAGACCAGACATGAAAACTCACCTCCACCACCACAATGTTTTACATAATAACCCTTCAATTCTTCATCGTCGTTAAACATTTTCCAAAAGAAATTGTACTCTTTGTCACTAACATCACTGTCTTCTTCATTCATGTCGTCGTCTTCGTCGTCCTCATCGCTGTCTTCATCATCGCTACCGCTATTTCTGGAATAAAATTCTTTCGCGGCCTTCAATGCCCTTTGCTGGATCTGGTTCCAGTTGTGGTTTTCTAGTTCTTCTGGTGTTAGCAAACGAGTTGTTTGTTGTGGATTAGGTTTTAGCTTCAATTCCGGCCATCCAGATTGAGTTAATTGAGGGGCTTCGGGAAGAGGTTTCACCGGCCATTCGGTGCCGGAGAAACTGCCGACCTTCTTAGGGTTCCTGGGTTTAAATTTGGGGGTTTTCTTGTGTTTCTTGAATTGAGTGGGAGTGATAGGCTGTAGGTTTGTATAGGGTAATGATCTTGAGGGAGGACCTTGGTGCCAGAGAGAATGGAGGTAAATTACTTCGTCCACTAACCTCTGTTCGTAGTGTGGATCCATTGAAAAGCAAGATCAAGAACTAGGTTGTCGAAGGTTGGGAGAAATTTTAGCGAAGAATCAAACACTGTCTTTATTTTCAAGTTTAAATATTATTATTATTTTTATTTTTAAGGGGGCGTTTGTAGGGCCCTGTCTACATTATATAAAAAATAGATATATATTTAATGTAAAATACAAATCGGAAATTAGGGTTTCAGTTTTCTTCGGTCTTCACAAATCACAATCGACGATTTCGATTGGAGATTGACGAGAATACGAGATACGACCAACTACGGCTGTGACTTCTCCAACTCCCACCCAAGGGCCAAGACGCGACAGGCGACCTGCATTTGACGTTTCCCGTCATCGCCGCCGACGCCGTTCCGCCTACCGACACCCTTTCACTGGTCTTCAGTCTTCACGAATCACGACAGTCGACGAATTGGAATCACCACTGTCGATTGTAAGCATGTGACTTCACATCCTTGTTAAGTGGTTGGAAAAAGAAAAAGAAAAGTTCACAAATCACAATGTATATAAACTATTAGATTATATTGTTATCTATAACACCACATTCCCGAGTTCAACTTAACGAGAGAAATGAAAGGAAATAAATGGAAATGAGAAGAAAATAAAAATAAATAAATAAAAAAAATTGGTGTTCCCGAGTTTCATTAAATGAAAGAAGTTGATGGAAATGGAAGGATCATTTTCCCTTTACCTTTCCTTCCGATTTGGGAGAATTTGGAAGAAAAGAAGAAATATTTTAATTTTCCTTCCACTTCTTTCCAACTCAGGAACACAAAATAAAATTTTGTTTTCCTTTCCTTTCTCTTCTTTTCTCTCATTATTTTCTTTTCTTTTAATAAACTCAATAAAGGGGTGTAAAACTTTGCCTAAGTGGATGGAAAAAAAGAAGTTCTTGTTTTTTGCCCAGTAATTTTTTATTATATTTTTTGGCTTTCTCCAATAGGGCAATGTATTCACGTATAAATATAACAAGGCCATTATAGAAAGAGTAACAAAAAAAAAAAAAAAGAGTAAACGAAAAGAAATTTACCTTGATGCGTTTTTTTGGTCAGGATAAGATATCCCATGGACTCTTTGCAGATATATAACAATAAATTAGTAGGATTAACACATATTTGTACATGTTTGTGAAATCATATCATTCACATAACACCAAAATACTTCATGAAATTAGATATTACAATGCCACTTCACTTACACCATAGTGCTTCATGAATTTGTGAAAGCATATCCACTTAACCCAGTAGTGTTCACCATCCTTATTTTCATCAGTTGAATCCATGCGTGAACTAAATTACTCATTGATCATAATTTCATCAAAAGATCATCTTTCCAGTTAAAATTCCTTAAAGTGTTTATTGCCTATTTATTTATACATAGATTCCAATTTATTCATGAAACTAGAAAGATCAGACTAAATTCCCTAAACTACAAAGAAAAAACATGTAATTACTTTTAGATCTGTAACCAGATAACCTTAAAGATCCTTATATTTCATTAAGAAATTGAAAACTGAATCTTAATTCATATTCGTTGAACAAACCCTAGCTACTCCCTCATTTCCTTGTTCCAATTTGAGGCGTCAAGGATAATACAACCATCTCAGCTTTATTGATAGACAAAATAAAAATCTAAAAAAATACCCTACCTGATAATGCCCTTTACATGCAAGAAAATAAATCTAAACAACAATGTTCGATTAAATTGCGAAAAGGATTCTTACTGAAAGAGCCGAAGGTGAAGCACAACCAAATGGAGCGAAAGGAGCAGGCAAAAGAATCACTAACATGCCACAAAGCGATCCGCAACGGCGACTGGAATTGTAGAGCTTCATCCCGCTATCGTAAGAAGCCTGTAAAGCGGTAGTGTTGTAAATCAAGAACAATAAGAAGATGATGAAGAAGAAGAGGCGAACCCTTTTAAGTATTGGGGAAAAAACCGGAACCTCAAATCAGTTAAAGAATTGATAACCAATCGACAACAAGCATTTCTCTCTTTATCCTCTCGCTAGTTCCTTGGCGAGATGTTCTTAGCGAGGCTCTTAGCATACCTTGGGGGTGGTGTAGCGAGTTGCTAGCGAGGGTAGTGGCGAGGCTTAGCGCCTCCCACTCCCTTAAGCCCAATAGATAAATAGAAGCATATATAATAATTGATATACCTTTGGGCTTAAAATCATACCAACTGCAATTACACTGTAAACTGACATCAAATGAAAACGTAAGAAATCAGCTAGCATTTAAATACCAAATGAATCCAACAAGAATTTAGATAACGTGACAGCAAAGCAACTAAAATGCATGGAAATCAAAGCAGAAATTTATATCATTGTGTATGTTATAGCTTTTCTCAGACATGAAGCTTCAAGTCACCAAATTCATAAATTAGAGCTCAAAATACAAATACAAAATATATGGGGTGCAACTGAACGGCTAAACAAATTTTGTTACAATGAAACATGCATGTAGAATGTAAAGAAATGGGTTGGGAGAAAAAATTGGGAATATTTGGTGTTGTCTTTTAGTAATTCTTATAAATTTGTAATTTTGGATTTGTTGTATTTTGCATTTGTAATGTTGGATTTGTCTTTGTAAGATTGTTGGAATTGTTGTTTTATAATGTTAGATTCGTCATGTTGGCTTTTTAATTTTTTAGTTTCTAAAAGATTCGGTTTTAAGTTTTTAAAGTTATTAAAAATAGTATTTTTAGTCTAAAACAAAGCAATTTCCTAGCAAAAAAAAAAAATCCAATTTTGAGCTTATAAACCGGAGGAACGGGGGCGATGGAGGTAACCGGGATCGGGGATGTGTAAACGGGAGATCCAGGACGGGACTGAGGGCAGCTATTTCCGCTCCGGTTTCGTTCGGTTGACATCCCTAGATGTTTGTTTGGATTTTGTTCCTCTCAGTTGACATATACAAATGAGCATTAATAAACAAATGAATAAAATAAATAATATATGTAGCTAGTTCAGCTAATTTAGAAAGAAAAAAAAAACAATAAAGTTTGTAAATTACTTGTTCGTTTATTAACAGCAACTTAATGGAGTCTTGTCTTTGTTCTAAACAGATTTCAGGCTCTACATCTTGATGATTCGTATCTTCAAAGTGTCTACTTCCTTTAGTACATTTAGCTTAGTTAACATAGTATGATTTGTTGATATATATATATATATATATATATATATATATATATATATATATATATATATATATATATATATATATATATATATATATATATATATATATATATATATATATAGGTTTAGGTTCATTTGAGACCATTCTAATTTTGTGAGACCGTGAGACCAAATCTAAAAATAATTTTAAAATGCAAAATAAATGGAAAAATCCAAAAATTCTTTTTTTTAATATTATTTTCGGAACTTGAATTAACTAAAAAAATATAAAAAAAAATTAAAAAAAAATCTGTTTTTTTTTTTTTTTGAAAAATACGTGAAATATTCTAAATAGAATATTACACTGATATATTCTAAAATATAATTTTAAAATGCAAAATAAATGGAAAAATCTAAAAATTCTTTTTTTAAATATTATTTTCGGAACTTGAATTAACTAAAAAAAATTAAAAAAAATTCTTTTTTTTTTGAAAAATACGTGAAATATTCTAAATAGAATATTACACTGTACATATTCTAAAAATAATTTTAAAATGCAAAATAAATGAAAAAATGAAAAAATTCTTTTTTTAAATATTATTTTCGAAACATGAATTAACTAAAATAAATAAATAAATAAATGCGTCTCACGGTCTCACAAAATATAGGTGGTTTCAAATGAACCTAACCCTGTATATGTATATATATATATAAACAATTATTGAAAACATGCATTATTTTATAGAGAGAATTTCGTATATACCCTTATTAAAAGTTAAAATATCGTATTTGCGTAGTCTAAAATCTAAATATTATATCTGTCCTTCTTAACCTTTTAAAATATCATATTTATCAAAATATGTTGTTATAATAGTTTTTAATATTGTATAATCCTTTTTACATTTAAAAATCATTAAATTGAAAAAAAAATGACCACATTGTTATTGCCTTTTAAATCAAATGAGCTCTTAACAGGATAATAGGATTTTACCACTCAACATCTTCTTCACAATCATTGGACCTCTCGGCTCTTGCTGTCTTCCTGCTTTAATATGATTTTTCACAAATCTCTTCCATATATGCCTTTGTTTTTGACAAAATAATCAATTAGAAGAGATAAAAAGAAGCTCGAGTAGACAAGAGTGAGAAAAAGTTTGACTTTTAGGTCTAACACCATGTACGTTCCATGATTATAATGTTAATAATTGACTTAAATTCATACTAACATGTTAACATTATTCTCTGTGTTGGTTGCAATAATTACAACAAATGAAGAAAAACTAGAGCAAAAATGTATTGAAGAATACTCAAATTTCAAAAGAGAGAAAATCCATCATCAAGTCTAATTCACTATAAATTCAGAAAGATCAAAAGCACATTCCATAAGCATTCCAAAAATTTAATTCACTAAATTTTAAAAATAGGCTTAAATTGAGCCCCTAAATCCAATCCACTGAGTTTACACTTTAAACTATCAAAGCTAATGCTTTTTGGGATTTGACACGATGGATGAATGTGCTCCTCTGTAGTGGTGTTTTGATTTGTGTAATCGGTAAACAAAAAAATTAGGACTTTAGATAATGGTGATGATTCAGTTGTTGCTGAGGCGGTATGTTTTTGCATTCAAAGAAAACATGATTTAGCAAGTCTTCATTTTGTAGTGATTCGATATATGTAACTTTGAGTTCTTGGGGGAATACCTAATTATACATAAATATCATCACATTCAAACACAAAATTGAACAAAATCATGAGCTTAGATAGGAAAAGGGCAAAAAGAAAAGACAGTTACCTGCTTATACACGATTGTAAGAAGAAAGATGGCTAGAGGGAAAGAAGGAAGACGACTAGAGGTAAAATCCGATGAAGGTGAGGAAGACGTTGAGGATATACTAAAATCAAATTATCTTGTTAATAGCTCGTAATTTGGAAGCTAAGGGCAATATGGTCCACTATTTTTTTTTTTTTTTTTTTTTTTTTTTTTTTCAATTTTAACAATTTTAAAATATAAAAAAGGATAGTAAAATATAAACAACTATTAAAAAAACAATTTTAGGTAAATTTGATATTTAAAGGATTAAGAAGGATAAATATGATATTTAGATGTTAAACCAGAAAAATATGATATTTTCTCGTTTAGTAAAGATATATATGAAATTATCCCTTCTTTATACTACACTCTCAAAAGAAAATGAACACTAAATATGAATATGAGAATGAAAACCATCAATCCCTACTTTATGCAGATGATCTTATCTTAAATAGGAAATCTACAATTGAAACCGAAATATATTTGAATTTCAATGAATTTGAATTATATTAATCATGATTTGTTGTCTAATTGATTATTTATTTTTATTGTTATTCAATTTATCATCTTTATATCATTAACTGGATTACTAATTTAAAATTAAATTCCAAATCTATAGGAATGCTTTTAGCAAAACATAAGGTTTCAAATGGGTGGGAAACAAAAATACTTGTCGGCAAAGTCAGTTGGAAGCGGATAGTGAATAGCGGATAAATAATAGCATTCTGCTAAACGTTACATGAAATAACTTTTAGATTGAAACGGTTTGTTTAACTTAAACGTTAGAAACTTGTATTGTCAAACGATGCCTTCTGTTCAAAACAAAATGTTTTATCAAACAATGGATGCTAGAAGCTTCTAAACGCTCCGTGCCGAGCATGCTCAAAATGAAAATCATTAAGAAAATTACACTTGACAGGAAGGAGTTTCTAAAGGTGCCATTTAGCATAAAACATACTCTTTTATTAAGACATATTTTTCATTTAATTTTATGATATAGTAATAACAAATTTTTTCATATAAAATATATTATCAACAAAATCTTACTTCATACTTAAAATCGACACCCTTCTAATATTTCATTCAGACAATTTTCAATTATGTCTTCATAAGGAATTTACAAGAAGAAGTCATCAATAAGCTTATTTTTAAATAATCCATATTCATCTAATCATCTTTAAGAAGTCATCATCAATAACACTTTAACTAAAAATATAAAATATGTATACAACAAATAAGAATTTGATTGCAAGTAGCAGTCGACATAAATCAATCAAAGTTTTAACTACGAATATAAAATAATAAGAATTTGATTGCAACTAGCAGTCGACATAAATCAATCAAAAAGACTTCATCATTAGAATTTCAATTACACGTAAAAACTACACAAAGCAAAAGAAAAAAAAAATGATTGCAAATAAAAGCAACAAATATCACTGACCCCATTAAAAGAAAGAGTAAATTACACGGATGGTCCCTATGGTTTATGGTAATTTGCGTGTTTAATCCCTAACTTATTTTTTTAACTTGGAAGGTTCCTACTGTTTGTTTTTGTTACACACTTGGTCCCTGTCTTACCTAAAGATACTATTTTTCCCTTGATATTTTAATTTATTTAAGTAAACACACCCCCAACCCCACCCCACTCACCTTACCTTACATACCCATCATTTTTTCTTATTTAAATAATAGTCGTTTTAGGTAAGACAGGGATCAAATGTGTAACAAAAACAAATTGTAGGGACCAAGCACGTAACAAAAACAAACTGTAGGGACCTTCCGAATTAAAAAAATAAGTTAGAGATCAAACGTGCAAATTACCCCAAACCATAGGGACCATTCGTGTAATTTACTCTAAAAGAAAAAAAAAATATATCATGCCTTTATCAATAAGAATATAAAAAATAACAATAAACAATACAAAGCAAATAAGCAATACCTCCAGCTCAACAATGGCGGGAACATACTCGAATACCACAGCCCCATAGCACCGGCCACTGGCCCAAAACCCTAGGCTGTCTGAATGAGTGAATTCAATCGTTAAGCTCCACCGTATGCTTATTATAGTTGCTAATCTTCGCATTTCATTCTTTTCAAGAAACCCTAGGTCTGTAATATTTGCTCTTCATACAATGTCATCGCCTTCGCCAACGACGATCGTCGCGGAGTACGCGAAATCGGGTAAATCTTCATGCAAGAAATGCTCCGAAAAGATTGATTCGAAATCCCTGAGATTAGGGTTGAAGAGTCGAGACCCTCGAGGGTATGATAGCCTTAAATGGCATCACTTCAACTGCTTCTTTTCTTTGGATTCCATTCCGGCTTCTTCGGCCGAGACGTTCGAAGGGTTTTCTGAACTGAAGGTAAACCTTAAATTGATTCCATTCCTTCGTTTGGCTTTCTATTACTCCCCCAATTTTTATGATGTATAAAACGAAGAGCATTCCTGTTTATGAGCAATGTCGTTTACACACTATCAGATATAAACTTCCATTATCTGACAAAGTGCAAGCTCATTATGTTTTGTATGGTTTTGAGCTGAATATTCTTCCTTCTACCATTCAGGGCAGTGATCAAGATAAGTTGAAGCAGATGATGAGTGAAGAGGATCGAACTTCTACCAAGGTATATGCTCATCTAAGCTGCTTGTAGTTGTACCTACATATAGGATGCCTTCTGCAAAAACTTTATGATTCATGTTTTGACCATGGTTGATGGTGCATGTTTTGACCTAACTCCTATTGTGCTATAACAGAGAGGAGATGTTGATGCTGAGTCAGACAAAAGAGATTTAAAGAAACTAAAGGTAGAGACATGCAATTGAAAAGATATGATCTTTTTGTCCAATTTTCATATTATGATATGTTTTTCACTTTTCCATATCTTTAAGTAACTGATTGTATTCATGTAATTCTGCTTTGTATTTATAGACTGATGAAGATGAGGAAAGTGTGAAAGAAAAAAAGAATGCAACAAATGAAAAGGTATACTGTTATGCTACTAAAATGAACTATAGCCAAATTACAAACATACCCTTATGTCTTCTTCCTCTACTTGTATCAAGATTGTTGTAGAGTATGCAAAGTCAGGAAAATCTTCATGCAAGAAATGCACTGAAAAGATCGATTCAAAATCTTTAAGATTGGGATTGAGTTTTTGGGACCCACGAGGATATGAAAACACCAAATGGTATCACTCAGACTGTTTCTTTCCTCTTGATGTAAACTTGTTGTCAGCAGAATCAATCGAAGGGTTTTCAGAACTCAAGGTGGGGCCCAGTTTAATTTTCTAGCTGCTAATTTTATTTTCTTTCGATAACCATTTTTGTTTTTCACATATGATCAGAATCAATATTTTGATAACTGTTTTTGCTGAATATATTTGGTATTTGTTATGCAGAGTGATGATCAAGAAAAATTAAAGATACTTGTGACAGAAAGGGATCAATCTTCTAAGAAGGTACTATTTTTGTCATTTTTTATGAATTAATTTTTTTTTTTTATATTGGGTTGTTTTGTTTTATGAGTGATTTATTTATTTATTTTATAATTTTGTGACAGTTAAATGAAGATGCTGAACCTGAGCTGCAGCGAAAGGATCAAAAGAGTGGAAAGGTATAAAATTTTTTAAATCAATAATCGAATAATGGTATATTTATATAATTAAGTAATAAACTCAGTATTGTTTACCCAAATTTCTAGCTCTTTTGTTTTCTTTTTAACATATTATTTAAAGCACAACATTTTAATAATATAATTTTGACTTCATGGTTGCATCTATCTGTTTAATAATAGAAATATGGCCAAAGTATGTTACCTTTCTATGCAACTTTAACATACTGATTGTATTCATGTAATTGTTCTTTGTATTTATAGTCTGATAAAGATGAGGAAAGAGTTCAAGAAAAAAAGAATGCAACAAATGAAAAGGTATACTGTTATGCTACTAAAATGGACTATAGCCAAATTACAAACATACCCTTATGTCTTGTTCCTCCACTTGTATCAAGATTGTTGCAGAGTATGCAAAGTCAGGAAGATCTTCATGCAAAAAATGCTCTGAAAAAATCGATTCAAAATCTTTAAGATTGGGATTGAGTATTTGGGACCCACGAGGCTATGAAAACACCAAATGGTATCACTCAGACTGTTTCTTTCCTCTTGATGTAAACTTGTTGTCAGCAGAATCAATCGAAGGGTTTTCACAACTCAAGGTGGGGTCCAGTTTCATTTTCTTTTTAATTTTTTTTTCCACTTATAATCAGAATCACTATTTTGTTAACTGTTTTTGCTGTATTTTTTGGTGTTTTATTATGCAGAGCGATGATCAAGAAAAACTGAAGAAACTTGTGACAGAAAAGGATCAATCTTCTAAGAAGGTGTTATTTACTGTTTACTATTTTTATCATTTTTAATGAATTAGAAAACTATATAAAGTTTAAACCAGTCATTTTAATGAATTGAGTTTCCATTTTTAGACATCTGATAAACTTGATGAAGACATTGGATTGAAGATAGACTTTTCACCTAATGATGTCAAGGACAATTACAAGGTAAAAAGATCAGTTGAACAGTTTTTTCTCCATTTTTATACTAAAATGTTCAATTTATAGTCGACTTCTATTAATTTTATGCATCTGTAAATACTTATAATTATTATTTGTTTTAGGGTGCAACATTACAACCAAAGTGGAAGGTGTTCCAGACCCTCATGTATCTAGAACGGGTTAGTTCTTTTTTTTTTAGTGTAATTTACATTTTTGGTCCCTGAGTATATCTGATTTTTGCAAATTTGGTCCTTATTTGAGGTTTTTGTAACGTTTTTGGCCACTATTCCAAGTAAAAAGACTATCTTTGGGACCAAAAATAGTTCTTTTTCTTAGGGACCAAAAATATTACAAGAACCTCAAAATAAGGACCAAAATTGCAAAAATCATCTATACTCAGGGACCAAAAATGTACTTATACTCATAATGATTTTGCAGGAAGATGGCCTCCAAGATTCAAGTAAAATTGCTGCCTTTGATTTTGATGGATGTCTTGCAAAAACATCAGTTCAAAGGTACACATGACATGGCATGTTTACAAAAAGACGAAAATGCCCTTCTCATCATGTAATACATATAATTAATTACAGAGTAGGTGCAAGTGCTTGGTCTCTTATGTACGCTTCAATCCCAAACAAGTTACAAAGCTTGTACAATGATGGTTTCAAACTGGTTTGCATTTCCCTTATTTATTTATTATCAATATTCTAAAACAATAACATGTTTTTTTTTTTTTTTTTTATCATCTTTATCTCTATAACATCTTGTATTATCATTAGGTTATTTTCACAAATGAATCAAATATCGAACGTTGGAAGAACAAGCGACAGGTGGCAGTTGACTCCAAGATCGGAAGACTCAACAGCTTCATCAAACTCGCAAATGTCCCGATTCAGGTAATTCTAAAAGGACAATAATGTCCTTTCACTATCTTCACAGATTTAGCCACTGAACTATTATTATTTATACAGGTTTTCATTGCTTGTGGTGTAAGTAAAGGCCAAGAACATGACCCCTTTCGCAAGCCAAAAACTGGAATGTGGCAAATTATGGAACAACATTTTAATTCTGGAATTCCAATTGATATGGATAAGTATATGCTTCTTCTTTCATAACTTTTGAATACATAAAATTTTGAGCAAGTTACATTTTTGGTCCCTGAGTATGGCTTTCTCTTGCAATTTTGGTCCTTATTTGAGGTTTTTGCAATTTTGGTACAAAAAATAGTTATTTTACTCAGAACATGGAACAAAAATGTTACAAGCTGTAAGAATTAGATAAACTCAGGGACCAAAATGTAATTTTCTAATCTTAATAACTGGTGTGTTGTATTTTCTTATACAGGTCGTTTTATGTTGGTGATGCTGCTGGAAGGAAAGATGATCATAGTGATGCTGACAAGAAATTTGCAGAGGTAATAATTAATTAATTATACTTACATTGTCTTCACTGATAATAGCAATGTACTTATGTCTAAAGGATTGTAAGTATTTTTCTATTTTGGGTAAGTAATAAAGTATGTTGCTATTTCTTGTAATTTGAGAAAGGAACATTTTTGTTGTTGCAGGCTATTGGGTTGAAGTTTTACCTTCCAGAAGAATACTTTGATCAATGAAAGATTGGAGGTGTTGTTAGTAGGGTGTAATTACAAGTCTACCCTTTTGACACTTGGTCTCTGATATAGAGATCTCTACTTTAAAGTATGCTTGTAATCTATGATACAATTGGGGTGATAGTTTCACTTCTTTTGTCATGATCATTTTGTTTGTGGAAATTTTACTTCTTTTATCACACCAAATTGTTCCTAAGCACTTATACAAACAACAAATAAATAAGAAAACCAAACAAAGTCTCTTATTGTGCACCAAAACATGTTTTCCTCATTTCCACTTCGTACATACAATCATAACATATAACTAATAACTTCCAACATATCTTACATTTTCTTCTTCCCACCACCAATCTCACCTTCTACAATCGCATGCCTTGTCAACACAATCTCTTTAACAAGATTCTTGTAAAGAAAAGGTCTCACTGCAGCTCTCAAGAATTGACCCGGTGGAATCCTACTCTTCTTAATCTTCTTCATCCGTGGGCCATACCCTAATTGCTTCCACTCCTCCGGGCTTATCTTAGCCCTACCACCCCTCATTCCCATTTCTCCCTCCTCATTCTCATTCTCATTCTCATCTCCTTTTCTCTCCTTTTTCCTCTCTTCCATCACCTTCGCTTGCTTCTCATACAATTTCGTTGTCATTTTCACACTTCGCCTCGCCATTACCTCCATCTCTTCATTACTATTCACCGCTTTCTTGAACTCTTCTTCCCAATACTTCTCATCTTCTTCTTCCACACCATCATCATCATCATCATCATCAACATCAACATCAACATCATCATCATTGAGCTCCGCATCAAGCACTATATCATCTTCATCATCATCGTCTTCGATCCAATCCAAAACTTCCCCTTTTGTGCCACCATCATCATTCTCATCGGGGGCATCACAACCCAACTCCATTTCCTCTAATTTAGCTTTCCATTCCTTTGTATATGGATGAAGCAACTCAATCGGATGATTCCCGAGTAAAAACTCCAAACATTTTGACTTCTTTTCATCGCTAGCTTTCTCAAACGCTTTCACTACATCATCCACAAAAGCTTTTGGATTCACTCTCAGAATCTTACACAACCCACCAAAATAAGTACACATTTCAACCCCACCATCGTCACTTTCCAACTGACACATAAAATCTTGCTCGGTTTCAGGGTCAAGAAGAGGCGCCATTGATTTAAAAAACTCATCTTGAGGTTCAAATCGACATTGGTAAACGGGTCTTTTTACGTATATGATATCGGGTCTCATCCATGCTGCACATTTTGTGATCAAAGCTCTGGTTCTGTTCCCGAGTCTACCCATTAAATTCCATTTATCTAACCTCTGTTTTCCAGCTTCAACCACAACTTCACTAACGAGGGTCCATTGCTCCCATGGCAGCTCTGAAACTCTCCATTTTGGATGCCTGACAAACACCCAAAAGTATCTGAATCCAACGGTTTTATCTAGCGACTCCAATCTCTGACCAAAATCTTGACTCATTTCAAACTGTTCGATCTTTTCCCACTCTTCTTGATCTCTAACTTCGCCAATCAAAGTCACGTTTTCATCGGAAAATCGACCACGGATTGGTTCTCCTAAAACCACCCCACGCCATGAATATGGTCCGAATTCACCATACTTGTACCAATCATATGGGTGCTTAAGATTCGGATCGTCTTTCTCCATAAACTGAACCATTCGATCGTATCCTAACCCGATCATTTGCAGCTCATCTTCAGAAAAGTTATTAGGGTAATTACCGTGGGGATTCTTCAGCCTATAGAACAGGCTTTCAGCGAGCTTCTTGCTCTTCCGTCGAGCATTTCGTTTTGCTTCTCTACGTAGCTCGGCGGTTCCTTCGATGCGGCCGCCGCCGGGGGCGCCGCCTGCTATTTTCTTGCTACGCCCGGCATATGATCGAACATCTGGTCTGCAAGACGCATTGTTTGGTTGGAAAAATGAACTGATTGATAAGGGTTTTGGGAGTTTGGGGCATGAGTGAAGTGGGATTCTGGCTCTGTAAAGAGGGTTTGAGAATTTCGTTAGGGGATATGGATAAGGTGTGAAGGTTGAGAAATAGGGGTTTAGGGTTTTAGAGAGGGAAGGGTTTTGAGGAAGCATTTTGCAATCAGTAAAGAAAAGAGATAAAGCTCCAGTGATATAGAAGACACAATTTTTTTTTTTAAATGTTTTTATGCTATTATTTTGTATTTCAAATTACCTAGAGTAATTACTTTTAATCTGATTTATTTATGCTTTTGCAATTTTTCCCCTCTAAAAGGCTATTAAAACTAACAAAACATTATATTTATATTAAAAAATTCAACTTTTTTTTTTCTATACATTTAAGGTGTTTGGATTGCATAGTTTGTTTTTTTTAAAACCAAAATTAATGAAGTTTTTGGACCATCTGAATGGACCAACCTCTAATAAAAAAATATGTTTGTGTTTTAAACTTTTTTTTCTACAGACCGCTAAACTCCTGTAATAAATTAAAATTTAAATAAAATGATTTACAAACTGAAAATATTTATGAACACCAAAATTTTCATAATTCTAGTCCTAAAATATCGAGGAAGATTTCAAAATTTGGACTGAAACTGTGATTTTGAGTAAAATAGAGGACCAAAGTTGTAATTACTTAATATTTAATAAAGTTTTAACATACGTATTTGAGAATGCACGGTATAATTCTCGGATTCCATCGATCAAAGAAACTTTTCTCAACGCTTGTTCTGTTGTTCATCACCAACACCAATCCCACGATATAATCCATCCCTTCTTTCGAGAGAATTACTTCAATGGCCGAAGCATAAACAACCCAAAATTCATGGCTCCTAGAACCCACTTGACAGATCTCGGAAGCATCGCCAACGTTGATCTGACCGAACTTGGCGCAGGCAAGGAAGGCTGGCTTGATAATCCCAATCTCCTCTGTGCTCTCGATACAAATTCTCTTGCAATCGCCAATCGATACTACATCCTTGTTCTCGAGTGGTCTAACGCCTCTGGTACTGCTAGCTTTCGGGTCAAGATCCGACCCAATCTTTCCCCAATTGAGGCGGAGTATGTATCTGCTCTTGAGTGGTTGGTGTTTGATGATATTAGGGTTATTGCCATCGGAACATCTTGTGGGTACTTTTTGATTTACTCACTTGGAGGCGATCTTATTCACAAACAGGTACATTACTGCAATTTCGATTTTGAATATACTTCTAGATTGAACTCGTTCAGAATCAATTCCTAACTACAATAAATTCAATATAAGTGCTATGAATTGCATAATCAGTTTTACCCAATCACTCAAATGGTTACACTTTTCGCCATGGAGCGAGGTAAAATAAGCTAAACGAATCGAGACATTGAGAGTTTGATTCTCTCCATGAAGCAACAGCCAATGTTAAAATCCAGGAAAAGTAAAGTAATCACATTTTCATACGCTTTAAATTACCATGATTGTTTTGGCAGCTTGTATACCCTGGAAGGATTCTAAGGTTAAGAGTACGTGGAACCAAGAGAGATATTACAGAAGATACATCATCTTTTGAAGAAGTATGTGTTGTTATAGCAGGCATAATTGCTCGTTTTGATGGATCTGATCTTCAGGTAAATTGTGGTTGACAATGAAACAACAAATGATTTCAATGTCCTTTAGTAAATTGTGGTTGACAATGACATGCAGAAAGTACTTCAAAAATGGTATCAAGAAACTCAAAATCAATTCTGGAATTCCATTAAAGATCCAGAAGAAGAATCTGAAGATTCCTTCACCCGAATTCCCTACCAAGTTTGGAATGTCAATGGATACGGCTCGTGTACTGATGCTGCCATCACAGGTGTCATGTCGCCTCCTCTTCTTGAACTACAGGTAACATCGTAAAATGACCATTTTGCCCCTCTCCGTCTTGATGAGTTTTGGAGACTTTCTGAGGGTATTTATGGTATTTGAATTCAGCTGGTTTTATTGTTGAGCAGTCGAGTGATCGCTATTATTGTGCTGTCACCATTGGAGTTGATGCTGCAATTTCTGCGTTTAGGTTAGTGATTCTTGGTTTTAGAGAAATTTACATTTTTAGTCCCTGGGTATAGATAATTTTTGCAGTTTTGGTCCCTATTCCAAGTAAAATTTTCTAAATATCGTCATTTTACTTGGAACAAGGACCAAAAACGTTGCAAAAAGCAAAATTGCAAGAGAAAACCTTTTGGGACCAAATTGTAAAAAGAAAATCTATCAAGGGACCAAAAATGTAATTTCTATTGTTTTTTATCACAGAAAGTCTTGAGAAGTGATTTTACAATGTGATTTTTTTTTGTAAAGGCTTTCTGAAGATCGAAGCAGGTCTTTTGTGGGGGCGATTTTGTCAAAAGTTATGCCTGTAACTTTTTCGACAATAGCTTCTTTTTCTAAATTGGTTTGGAGGAGCCAACAACCAGCAAAAAAGCCAGAACCAAAGCCACAGCCATTTGCTCGAGGTGAGTAGGGTTATTTTTGACATTTCATAAAAGGTTTATAAGAAAGGTCAAACTTGTACTTTGAAAAATCTACCCAATTAAAAAATGCAAGTAGGTTGCTACTTCTTGCACTCATTTTGATACTGATTGTAAAGAAACTTACTATCAAAAAAGGTATGGAAAAATATAAACTAATGTAACCTTATTTTTATCAAATTTACAGCTTTACCCCTTACATGTTTGAAAGATCACCCGAGAAAAGGGGAGAAGCTAACCTTATCGCCAAGCGGGACTTTGGCGGCAATAACGGATTCACTTGGCCGTATTATGCTCTTGGACACCCGTGCCCTTGTGGTTGTACGGTTATGGAAGGTAACGGACTGTGTTTGACATGTATTGGATTCAGACTGATATAAAAGCTCTTTTTTTGTCCCTCCCAAAAAGGTAGGACAAGGACTTGGTCTAAATGCCTCATCTGTGTAAAAAGACATGAATGCCCTCATCAGTACTTATATTTCACTTACTACTGTCATACATTGGACTAAGACTATGATTGATGTGAGTGGGGAAAAAGTGCAATCTTTTGTTTCACGCAAAAAGATGGGACATGGACTTGCTTTCCATAACCCATATTTGCGAAAAGACGTAAATGCCCTTTTCATTCTTAATCATTGAAAATATCCCTAGAAAGCTTTTTATAGTGTGTTGGCCCATGACAATGGAACAAAAATTGTTTTTTCTGTCCCACCAAAAAAAAGGTGGGATAGGGACTTTCTCTTGTCTAACCCGTGCAAAAAGACGAGAATGCCCTTCTCATCCGAAATAACAAAAAAACTCAATTTTTTCAGGGGTATCGTGATGCGAGCTGTCTTTTTGTTGAAAGACTTGTAAATAAAGAGAGTATAGGAAGCCATGAACGCGTGAAAAACAATTATTGTTTATGTCTTGCCATTCATGCTCCTCGAAAGGGCATTGTTGAGGTAATTAAAAAAAAAAACATTTAAATGATTTTTTTTTTTTCAAATACTAATATTTATAAAATTAACAGATTTGGCAGATGAGAACGGGGCCCAGGATTCTTACAATCCCGTGCCCAAAAGGAAGCAAAATACTACAACCCACTTACAGATTTGGATCATCAACGGTTTCTGAATCCTCTTATAAACCGTTGGAAGTTTTCTTTCTGAATGGAGATTCTGGTCAACTTTCAAGATTAAATTGATTGGTGTTTTTCTTTTATTTGTTTAGGGTCTCTTGTGTTTATGGTGGTAAATTAAGGGGTTGTTTAGGATATTCTTGTTTATCAAAATGGAGTTTGTATTAGGTTATATGCTACTACTAAAATGTAATAAGTTGATAAGTTTTTTTTTTTTTGGTGTTTGACGAAAATTTATTGTGTTTATACATGTAAAAGAGTAAAAGTACCAAAATGGATAGGGGTAAAAGGGTAAATGGTTAAACCTACACTCTTTGAAGTGCATATGTGGCATGGTACTCTTGTTAATGTTAATTTAAAGATGGTTTTAAAATAAAGATTCCATCAATGTAGAATACTCGTAATGATAAATAGGCATGGTACTCTTGTTAATGTTAATTTAAAGATACTTTCAAAATAAAGATTCCATCAATGTAGAATACTCATAATGATAAAATAATTTGAACCACATAATTGGGGATTTTTTTTATCAAATGTGGAATCAATGACTTTTGTTGCTATGAATCAATGATCTATATTGGCATGTGGCTTGCAAGTGACGGAAAAAGACACAATATATTGGCATGTGGCTTGCAAGTGACGGAAAAAGACACAATATATTGGCATGTGGCTTGCAAGTAACGGAAAAAGACAAACAAAACTATGATTCATGTGGTTTTCTGGGTTAAAACAATAGTAAGATTAAAATAAATTGTTTTTATTGTTTTGCATAAGTAATAGAAACATTTTTAAATATGAAAAATGACTAGTAAAGGTAGCAAATTCTTAATTTTGTTAATGCTTATTTTTTATTTTATTTTTATTTTTTTTACGTTATATAACATCCAATTGGTTTGAAGCTGTACATATAATTTAAGACAACTAAGCTGATTCAGTAGGTTCGGAATATGCTCCAGACAGCTCAGAGTCGGTAGAAGAGTCATGCGGATAGGCACCTGTCAGGTTTAGAGTTCCAGGTTGGATATATAGTTCTCCTGAAGGTGTCACCTTGGAAAGTGTCAGACTCCCAAACCGAATGGGCGGAAACATTCGGGGGTGGAGAACGTCATGTACAGTATCATAACAATGCATAATAATAAAATAAGCAACAACATCCATTGCATTAATAGAATAGTTAAATACATGTGTGTTCTTCAATAAGGTTTAAATGACACCAAAAATGTATAATCAAAATAATGACGAGTCTTGAATCCGCTCCGTCTTACAAACGCTGCATGGGTGTACCTGTCTTACTGGTTTCCTGAGAATACAAGTTATTTTGAAAGAGAGTATCATAATAAAATATTGGTGAGTTCATAAGTGTTTAGTGTCATTTAGTAATTAAAAACCTCGTAATGTTTGTATTAAAACCTTGAAAAGTTTGTAAAGTTCTCCAAGAAAATCTTATATTTCCTGCTTATAATTAAAGTAGCTTTCTACCCAAGGCCCGACTGTTTTATATGTTTGTTCTCGAATAAAAAATGTAATGTTTGCATATATACTTGGAATAGTATGAAAAAAATATAGTAGTACTTTATATCTTTGTAAAAGTATGTTTTCTCCCATTTATTACTATCATCTATTAGGAAAAATAGAATATTTTATCTCAGCAGTGACACTACTGAATATGAAATGGTAAAAATGAAAGACTCATAGTCGTATTAAATGTACAATACTCCTTGGAGAGTCTTATTGCCTTTAATTCCGATTTGGTTAATTAAAGGGTTAGATGTGAATTAGTTGTAACTATACTGATTGACGGCTGAATACTTGACGACCGTCTGGCTTCATAAAATAGTAAGGTGACATTTTTTCACCCCTTGGCCTTACCGGCTGGGATTGTAGCTAGCAGTCGGGGTGTGAGAGTGTCTGTCCCATATAGATTTATACACACGATGCTCGCTCTCCCTCCAGGAGACTTTGGTTACAAATGTGATACAACAATGTATTGTTGTACCATGAATTAATATTTCACATTCTAGTTATCATATTCTTACTATACTTGTATGTATATGTATATGTATATGTTCGTTCCTATTCTTGTATATGTATATGTTCGCTTCCGTTCTTTGTATATGTAACTGTATATGTATATGTTCGCTTCCGTTATTTGTATATGTTCACTAAACTATACCTATTAGAGTTTACTAGATGTTTGTTTTGATATTGCCTTGTAGAAAAGGCTTAATTGCTCGGCTTGAACAATTAAGCTAAGTAAACCTTTTTAAAGATAAAATTTTATATTCCATTACGTATTTAGCATGTATAACTATGAGTTAATCGATAGTCGGACTAGTGTATCCTACCCTAAGCCCACAACCAAACAACGAAGAGGAGTCAAGGTTATCCACAATAGTCCTAAGTTCATTAAAGCATACATATACACTAATACATAAATGAATATGGTTTTGAAAGTAAAAGGGTTTGAAAAGAGTTTAAAAGCAATTTAAAAAGGTTTTTATAAAGAAGTCTAACAATGTTTTAAAAGCAGTTTGAAAATGGTTTGAAACAAGATATTTAGCAAGTATATAAATGTTTATACTAACACAATTTCAATTGTGTTTACTTGTATTCCCCCCTTAAAAGCATTTAAACAATTTAAAAGGTTGATTGCAGGGGTATGAACTCACATGTAGCGAGTGGTTTGATTGAAAGATCGGAAAGGATGCTGAGTGCTAAGTGGAATCTCGGGCACAAGCGGATCCTAATAAGTCTATAATAGTACACATATGTATATAGTTAGTGTTTATACAACTAATCATGTAAGGGAAAACATCTTATGGGCAAGGAAACACTTGAATGGAAGGGTACAAATCACATATGATTGTATATAAGGGGAGTATGGCCACACTTTGGTGTTTTCGGCTAAGGGTTCACTGCCACATGAGTTTACGACCATAAGGTTTGCGGCCCTATGAGTTGATGGCCGTAAACTCATAATGTTTTGTGCCAAATATGTGTGTTTAAGGTCTTACAAGCATTCCCTAAGTGTTCTTGGCCGTAAATTTGGAGTTCGATGAGTTTGAAGGCCAAAACATGAACCAACACAAGGGTTTACGGCCATTCAAGGGTTTATAGCCGTAAAATCTTGGTGTTCATGCTCCAAATGATGTTTTAGGGCCAAAAATCAGAGGTTTATCAAGCCTAACTAGGAGATGGATGAAATACTTACACTTTGGAGGCTTGGGGGGGGGGGGGGGTGTTCACGGCCCAAGAACTAACGAGTGTTCTTGGTGAGAATGATGAATACTTGAAGATCTACCCAAAAACATGATTTTCATGGATTAAATCAATGGGTGATACAAGATTAAGAAGGATAACACTTAATAAAATGGAAGAAATGCTTACATTTTGGAGGATTAAGGTGGAAGCTTGATGAGAGTTGAGAGCAAATCCGGTTTCTTGAGTTAGAGGTGGAAAAAGAGATGAAGGAAGAAGGCATCTCATACTTATAGGGGTGAGTTCACGGACAGGGAGGGGTTTACAGCCATAAACTCCTGTTTACGGCCGTAAACTCCTTATGTGGGCGTTTTCGGCTTGTGAGTTGCACCCTAAACTCGTAGGATACTTCCCAATGTTATACCCTTTAAGGTACTAGGCTTAACACACTCAAACAGATCTCTAACAGGGATAAAAGATAGCCAAAAGCAAGTCTGACTTTGATTGAATCGAATGGATGTACCAGATAGAAATTTCGGGTTGTCACTCATCCTCTGATAGAGGGAATTTTGTCTTGAAATTAGAGTTTAAGCAATTAAGTAGTTATAGACAACTAAGTAAAAAGATGAGGATATTTCAGTTTCATTTGATCCTCATGATCCCAAGTGAATTCATGTCCTCGCTTGGCATTCCAGCGAACCTTCACTATCGGGATACGACTTTGCTTCGTTCGCTTGACCTCACGGTCCATGATCTCTACCGGTTCTTCCATGTAATTGAGACTCTCGTTGATCCCGATCTCGTCGAGTGGGATTACAAGAGTCTCATCGGATAAGAACTTTTTCAAGTTTGAGACGTGGAAGGTAGGATGTACGTTACTAATCTCGTGAGGTAGTTTAAGTTTGTAAGCTACGGGGTTGATTCTAGCGATAATCTCGAAAGGACCTATGTATCTTGGATTTAGCTTTCCATGCTTACAGTAGCATATCAAGCCCTTCCAGGATGATACTTTCAAAAGAACGCGGGCTCCTACCTGGAATTCTAAAGGTTTCATCCTCTTGTCAGCGTAGCTTTTCTGTCGGTCTCTAGAGGCTTTCAATCGCTCATGAATCCCGTATGATTTCCAGACCTGTGAGAGTGCTGTCAAGAACTCGTCCTTTAGCTAACTGAGTGTCACCCACCTCATCCCAGCACAGAGGGGATCTGCACTTTCGGCCATAGAGGGCTTCGAATGGAGCAGCCTTTATGCTCGTGTGATAACTGTTGTTGTAGGAAAACTCGACAAAAGGTAGATGAGTATCCCATGCCTTCCTGAAGTCTATCACACAGGCTCTCAACATGTCTTCCAAAGTTTGGATAGTCCTCTCACTTTGTCTGTCGGTCTGTGGATGGTAGGTTGTGCTCATGTCCAACCTAGTTCCTAAGGAACTTTGTAGCGACTGCCAGAACCTCAAAGTGAATCTACTATCTCTATCAGAGATAATGGATATAGGAACACCGTGCAGTCGTACTATCTCCCTAATGTATGTTATGGTTAGTTTTTCCATCTTGTCGGTTTCTTTGATAGGCAGGAAGTGTGCGGACTTGGTTAGCCTATCTACGATCCCCTAAATGGTATCGAGACCACCCGTTGTCTTCAGCAACTTGGTTATGTAGCCCATCGTGATCCGCTCCCACTTTAATTCCGGTATCTCCGTCTGTTGTAGTAAACCTGAGGGTTTCTGGTATTCGACCTTAACCTTGGCGCAAGTAAGGCATTTACTCACGAAGGTAGTAATCTTTGTTTTCATGTTAGACCACCAGTATAACTTTTTAAGATCCAGATACATCTTATCTGAACCTGGGTGGACGAAATATCGAGTGTTGTGTGCTTCTATCATGACCAAGTCCCTGAAACCACCGTGTTTTGGTGTCCAGATACGGTCCATGAGATATAAGGCTCCATCACCCTTGACTTCCAAGTTCTTATCCATCCCTCGCAGGGATCCACCCGCTACATTTTCAGGTTTCAAAGCTTCAAGCTGGGCCTCCTTAATTTGTGTGGACAAGTTTGAATGGATAGTCATAGTTAATGTTTTGAATCGAAGACCAGAGTATTCTTTTCGACTCAGGGAGTCAACTATTACGTTGGCTTTACCGGGATGATAACGAATTTCGCATTC